GCTTTGTTGATGGTGGTCAGATTGTGGGTATTTCCCCTACTCCCAGTGGCTCCTGACACTATCAACAATCATGTGAAGACTTGTCGAGAAGAGCAGAAGAATCTACACTTCTTTGCACCAGAGTATGGAGGTGAGGCACCCTGACTTCTCTGACCTGTCCTTGTTCCCTAATTTTGCTCTCTGTAACCTAAGATGTAAAGGCAATACAACGTGGACTTCTAGTCCTCTTTTAGCATACAGAGTATTTTTCTGTTTTAAAAGGCATGTCTGCCATTCCTTGCACCCAGTCCTCTTCCTCACTCTAAGTCCTCTCTGTTCTTCCTAGAAGTCACTAATGTGACAACAGCAGTGGACATTTACTCCTTTGGCATGTGTGCACTGGAGGTGAGACCAAAGGAGGAGGGATACCGGAAGGTGAAAGGGGTGGGGGGAACGAAGGGAAGACAAGGAACATGTGGGTCATGAGGAGTGACAGTGGGAGCATCAGGGTTCTTAGATCTCTCATTTCCCTCTTCATTGCAGATGGCAGTGCTAGAGATTCAGGGCAATGGAGAATCCTCGTATGTGCCACAGGAAGCCATCAGCAGTGCCATTCAGCTTCTAGAAGATTCATTACAGAGGGTAAGGGTCTTCAAGGTTGTTCCTTAACTGACTTTCAAATAGCTTCAGGTTTTTTTGTCACTGGGAATTTTCTCTCTTCCAAGAGCAAGAGAACATAAAGCAGAAGAGGAAAGACAAAGTTGTAGGCTGGGTATGGTGGTGCACACTGGTTATCTCAGTTACTGAGGATGTTGAGGCAGAAGGATCACAAGTTGGAGGCTAGCCTGTGCAATTTAGGGAGACACTGTCTCACAAGGAAAAATAAAAAGGGCTAGAGATATGGTTCAGTGGTAGAGTGCTTGCCTGGCATGTGGGAGCAATTTCCAGTACCACCAGAACACATATTTTAAAAACTATATAAATTCTGTTAGAAGTGCCTGCCATGCTTTTGTATATATAATACATTGGGGATTAAGATGGGCTTAAAGATTGTGTGTTAATTATAGTGTATTTTACACAGAGGTAAGTTAATTTAATGACTACTGAAGGCAATTCCTATGTACTCTTAGATAACCATCAATGTCCTAAATCAATGATGGCAAACCATTTAGTTCAGTAACTGCTTTCAGTAATAGCAAATAGCCCCCTTGCAGTACATATGCCATAGGTTTGTCATCACTGTAAAATCCTTTTACATCATTTGGGATTTTATAATCACACTGTTAAGGAAGGTTCCCTGAAATAATGAGCTAAGTTTA